TCAAGTCTCCTTCAAGTGACATATTGCTTAAATTCCAGGTACTGTAATGATTTGGACATCAAAAGGATTTAGAGTTGACCATGGAGAAGGCTATTAAGGAGGGAGTTGGAGAACAGATGACCCCGTCCAGAAATTGAAGGAAGTGTGAGAAATAAACTCAGAATAACTCCACCTTGATTTTGATGGGATAAGAGAGAAATTTGGACAGGCTTTGGAGATTTGGTTATTATACTCTACGAAAATCCAGCAATATTCCTGGATTCTTTGCGGTGCCTATTTCTGTGTTGACCTCCCTCAAAGGGTTGACACATGCCTTCAACACATACTTTCCTTCTTTGCTTGAAGCTTATCTCCAGCCCCCTCATTTGCAACAACCTTCATTTGTCATATTGGCCACCGTTAGCACTACCCTGGATTGCTTGCAAACCATCTTTTTCGATCCCGCTCGCCCAACCCTGTGGAGTTTTAACCATCCTGAAGGTTATTTGAGCTATCCGGGAGGAACAAAACACCCATATATTTTGAAGAGGACAGGACTTGCTTTTCTTCGAAGACATTTCACTTCTCATCCGAGAAGCTTCTTCTGTTCTGACCTGAATGGAAAGATCTATTATTCCGTGCAGTCATCTGGTCGTTAGTATTCTTTCTGAGAGTCACTTGGAGGTTCATCGATGCCCTCAGCGTCACTTGAATAGCGCAAATCGGTGTGGAACCTTTTTGGAACTGCTGAAAGGATTGTGTTGCAAACAGCAGATAGGCGGTGTCGTAGCCCTCCCGCTCTGCTAAAACGACGCCCCCTATCTGCTGTTAATCTTTTCAGCTATTCCAAAAAGGTTCCACACCCATTTGCACAACTAGGGTGACCCTGAAGGCACAGATAAAACTCCAAGTGTCCTCAATGGCTCTCAGAAAGAGTACTAACCACCAGATGGTTGCAAGGAATATATAAATCTTTCCATCCTCCACAGGGGTGAAATGCTCCCGGTTCGGACCGGATCAGGCGATCCGGTAGCGATTCTGGCAGATGGTTCGGAGAACCGGTAGCGATGGCGGCGCGAGGCTCCGCCTACCCACACTGGGTGTCGTTACTTCCTGCTTTTAAAAGGTAAAAAAAAAAGGCTCTGACGATCACCCGTCACAGCTATGATTGTCAGAGCCTTTTTTTTTTTAACCTTTTAAAAGCATGTTTTTACAACCTATTCGCCCGAATGGGTTGTTAAAAAATGCTTTAAAAAGAAGTTGGCCACACCCACCCAGTCACATTACCCCACCACCACCAAGCCACGCCCACAGAAACGGTAGTAACAAATTTTACATTTCACCACTGGTCCTCCACCATTCAGTCAGAACTGAAGAAGCTTCTTGGATGGGAAGCAAAATGTCTTCAAGGAAAAAGAAAGGAAGTCCAGTTGCCTCTTGAAAAAACACCTTCGGGACAACCGCGACACGGATGTCTTTCCATAGACCAGTGATGGCTAACCTTTTTTGCCGTCGCGTGCCAAAAGCGGGAGGGAGCGCGGGGTGGTCGTGCGCCCGCGTGCCCACACCCACAATTCAATGCCTCCCCGCCCCCTGCCCCCCGCGCATGTCTGTGTGACACACACACACACACACACACTTGGCACACAATGGCAAAAAGGTTACCAGTGGGCCTGGAAGGCCCGTTTTTTGCCCTCCCCAGGCTCCAGAGGCTTTTTTGGAGCCTGGGGAGGCTGAAAACGGCCTTCCCCAACCCGCAGAGGCCCTCCGGAGGCTAGAAACAGCCCATTTCCTGACTTCCGGTGGGCTCCGAAAATCAGCTGGCCAGCGCACATATGCACACTGGAGCTGAGCTAGGGCAATGCTCACATGCCCACAGATATGGCTCCGCGTGTCACCTGTGGCACGCGTGCCACAGGTTCGCCATCGTGGCCATAGACAAAACACCCATACCGACCATTACAACCAACATAAGACTCCACATAGGCGCAAGCTCCGAAAATGCGATGGATGCCTCAACGCTCCGAGTGTGCATTTTGTGTGTAAGCCAGCTCCAGATTCAAGTCAGCATTCTTTAATGCCAAAATGATTTCTTCTCTTTTGCGGAGGCAGCTGGTGTTTGCCTGAACTTGACTTTTCAGAGAAACATTCAATGATTGATTGCCTGCTGAACTCCAATACCCACATACCAGATTTCCTGATATAATTATAGGCTATTGGAAGTTCAGCTCTGGAAATGATTTACGTAAAACTTCTGATTGGATCAGAAGTCCTGTTATTGGCTTTCCCTATATCATTATGATTAACACATTTCATAACTATTTATCCATTGTTCGGTGAGTCCCTTCCCGCCAGGACAGCTGTACATCAGATATTTTTGTTCGTTAATTATAAGGTGTTCTTGCAACAATATATATAATCTAGACATTTAATTTTTAAAAAAACGGAACGTGCACAAAGTGATCAGCAATTTTGTGTGTGTGTGTGAGTGTGTGTATACCCTGTTTTCCCGAAAATAATACCTAACCAGAAAATAAGCCCTAATGCATCTTTTGGAGCAAAAATTAATATAAGACCCGGTCTTATTTTCGGGGAAACACAGTGGTAAAGGTTCCCCTCGCACGTATGTCCTAGTTGTTCCCAACTCTAGGGGGTAGTGCTCATCTCTGTTTCAAAGCCGAAGAGCCAGCACTATCCGAAGATGTTTCCGTGGTCATGTGGCCTGCATGACTCAATGCCAAAGGCGCACGGAACGCTGTTACCTTCCCACCAAAGGTGGTCCCTGTTTTTCTACTTGCATTTTTTACGTGCTTTCGAACTGCTAGGTTGGCAGAAGCTGGGACAAGTAATGGGAGCTCATTCCATTAAGCGGCACTAGGGATTCGAACTGAACTGCCGACCTCTCGATTGGCAAGCTCAGCATCTTAGCCACTGAGCCACCACATCCCCTACATACACGCACATATATATATATATATATATCATAAATTTTAAATCTCAAAGCTATCAGCTAAATTCAAATACAGGTAGTCCTCAATTTACGACCACAATTGAGAGCAGAATTTCTGTTGTTAAGCAAGGTGATTACTCAGTATGTCCCACCTACTTCTATGATCTTTTTTGCCATGGTTGTTAAGCAAATGACTGCAGTTGTTAAGTGAGTCCCGTGTGTCGTTAAGCAAATCAGGCTTCCCCTGCTAAGGAACTCTGGGAATTGAAGTCCGGATTTCTTCAAGTTGACACAGCTGAGAAACACTGCTCTGGAGAAAGGAAAGCATCTCTACAAAAATCTGCTTCAAACATCCCACCCCAGTCTCATTCCGACTCTGAAATAGTTCCTTCTGCCTTCAAAATAACCTGTTTCCCTGAAAATAAGGCATCCCCTGATAATAAATCCAATTGGGCTTTTGAGCGCATGCGCTAAAATAAGCCCCCCTCTGAAAATAAGTCCTCCCCAAAAATATTTAAACGCAGAGCTGGAAATCATCTTGCTCCATAATAAGAAGACCTTATTTCGGGGTTCAAAAAAATATAAGACAGGGTCTTATTTTCGGGAAAACACAGTAGGTCATTCCGGAAATGGCACCACCTCAAAAGGGTCAGTTCAGAGTATTCTGTTCTGTTTTGTTCAGTTCCCTTCCACTATATTTTATTCCAGTCCAGTCCAGTCCAGTCCAGTCCAGTCCAGTCCAATATTCTGTTCTATTCCGTTCCGTTCCGTTCCGTTCCATTCCATTTGTTCTGTTCTGTTCTGTTCCATTCAATTCCCATTCCATTCTATTCCAATATTCTGTTCTATTCCGTTCCATTCCGTTCTGTTCTATTCCATTCCATTCCGTTCCCATTCCACTCCATTTGTTCTGTTCTGTTCTGTTCCGTTCCATTCTATTCCCATTCCATTCCATATATTCTGTTCTGTTCTGTTCTGTTCTGTTCTGTTCTGTTCTGTTCTATTCTATTCTATTCTATTCTATTCTATTCTATTCCTATTCCTATTCCTATTTCTATTTCTTCCATTCCATTCCAAGACAAAGAAGGAGAAGGGAGGAGACCTACACAATTCAGTGCATCAGCCTTTCCTCTCCCCCATCTTTTCCTCTTTACCCTAAGAGACAAAGGACAACGTGGCTCTTGCCGAGTCTCATCACACCATGCCCTGGGTCAGCACAAAGATCAGCTCTGATTCAATAGGGAGCTTTAAGCCTGATGAAAGCTCCATTATGAAGAGCATCCTGAATTGCAAAACTACAAAGAAAGCAAGATTCTGTTTTCTCCTTCTAAGGGGGTCATCCTGTCCATCAACCCCGCCTTCCCGGGCTCCAGCCCAGAACAATGGGTTTAAATGACAGGAAGGAGGCCTGCCACCGAATTTTAGGAAAAAAGCTAATGGTAGATATTAAAGGGGACAGCGGTGGCTCAGTAGCTAAGACGCTGAGCTTGCCGATCGAGAAGTCGGCAGTTCAGTTCGAATCCCTAAGTGCCGCGTAACGGGGTGAGCTCCTGTGACTTGTCCCGGCTTCTGCCAACCTAGCAGTTCGAAAGCATGTAAAAAATGCAAGTAGAAAAATAGGGACCACCTTTGGTGGGAAGGGAACAGCGTTCCGTGCACCTTCGGCGTTGAGTCATGCCGGCCATGGCATAACCACGGAGACGTCTTTGGACAGCGCTGGCTCTTCGGCTTTGAAACGGAGAATAGCACCGCCCCCTAGAGTCAGGAACGACTAGCACATATGTGCGAGGGGAACCTTTACCTTTACCTTAAGGCGTGTCTGTTTGATGACATCACCAAATTGTATGTAAAAACATCACCGCGGGAGTAATCATCCCTGATTGTTAGCATGCGACAAATCCCCTCTTTTGAAAAATACTAGCAGAAACAGAAGGCATAGAATAGATCGCGCACGTGTTTGTAAAATAAATGTTAACCTTCAGAAAGAAACGGTGATTAAAGAATCGTTAAATGTTATGACACAAAAACCGCAGGGAAAGAAAACTTCTTCCACATTAAAACCTTTTCTTACCTCAATCAGCTTCCTTTCATAAGAGTTTGCACGCTCCTCATTGTTTTCCACTTGCTTTTGTTCGGGAATAGAGAATTCACTATCTGCGTTCCAAAGATTTGGCAAGACTGGAAGCAAAAATAAAACACAGGCTGCCGTCAGTAAAGAGCGATGGGTTTGATTTTTGGATTTTTCATGAGATCGATCCATTTTTACCTTTAGGAACGCCCATCGAAATTTGTAATTCGAGCCCAAAGTCGTATGCTCAAAAGATTCTGACTACAGGTAGTCCTCCACTTACGACAGTTCATTTAGTGACCGTTCCAAGTTACGACATCAGGGAAAGAAGTGACGTACGACAATTTTTCACATTTAAGACCATGAAATGTAAAATTGGTTACGACCGGGCGTGGCTTGGTGGTGGTGGTGGGGGTAATGTGACTGAGTGGGCGTGGCCAACTTTTCAAAACTTTTCAAAGCATTTTTTCTAATGTTTTGAAAAGCCTCTCTGAAGATCAGGCAACACAGCTGGGATCGTCAGAGACTTTTCAAAGCATTTTTTTTACCACCTCTTCGGCCAAAGAGGTTGTAGAAAAAATGCTTTGAAAAGTTTTTTTTTTTTTTTTTTTAAAGCCTCTGATGATTGTGCGGCTGAGCTGGGCATGGGGGAGGGGGGGGCGCGCAGGGATTTTTGCTACCGGTTCTCCGAACCACCCACTGCCATCGCTACCGGATCGGGCGATCCGGTCCGAACCGGGAGCATTTCACCCCTGCAAGAAGTGGTCTTCCTTTTTCGAGTTGAACCAAGCCAAAAGAAACAGCGGGGGTGCTGAAAAAAAAAAAAATCAGTTTGCTTAACCGAGACCAACAATAACGACAACCAAAATCCCTCCTCCTTTGCTATAGCTTAAAGCGATGAACTCAGCGGTGGCTGTGTTTACAGTATATTATGTGCTTAACCAGATTGATGAATTAACCCATTTGCAGGGCTTACACAGTGCATCAAATCATACTTCAACCAAATGCCCTAGATTCTCGCACAAGACGGTAATTCACACACAGAGAGAAAGAGAGCTGAGAGCCGAAGTTAAAACTAATCACATTCAGCGTGATTTTTTTTGTTTATTTGTTTTTGTCATGGTTGTGTATTCTGTGAAGACGAGAACTCTGTAGGGGCACGTGCATTAGACAGAAAGGTGTGTTTTTTTATTATTATTCTGTTTGCAAGGAGAGAGGGAAAAAAAAATCCCAAAACAAAGGAAGGAAAATATATGCTGGTTAAGGGAAGATAAAATGGCAAGGCTGATTCCCTGAATAGCCCCACTCGCCGCTGGCAACCTTAAACCGGCAGCTCAATATTTCAGATAAAACAGCAGCTAAGCAGCCAGCCATGAATTAGCTTACAAGTTCTCTCCAAAAAATGGAGCAAATTGAAGCCCCCGAATAGAGAATTTCTCATCTCCACCCCCAGAGATAAGAAAGGCCTAGAGGTTTTGTATACTTTTGTAGGCCTTCAAACCTGCTTCAATCACGTCAACTCTGAATGTCTCAAAATCCCCAAAAATCCATCACTTTGGGATGAAAACCAGCCAAGACCAATGCGACTTCATGAAGAACGTCAATAGTAAACTTAAAGATAATCCAATAATAAAAATTAAATCATCATAATCCCTCTTTCCTTCCTCCCTCCCTCCCTCCGCCTTCCTTCCAACTATCCTTCCTTCTTTAAATATCTATAGTTGGATTTCCTTCCTTCCGCCTTCCTTCCTTCCTTCTTCCCTCTCTCCTTTCCTTCCTCCTTCCCTCCTTCCTCCATCTTCCTTCCTTCCTTCTTTGAATATCTAGCTAGATTTCCTTCCTTCCTCCCTCCCTCCCTGCATCTCCTTCCTTCCTCCCTCCCTCCTCCCTCCTCCCTCCATCTCCTTCCCTCCCTTCCTCTATCTCCTTCCTCCTTCCATCTTCCCTCCTTCCTTCTTTGAATATCTATAGCTAGATTTCCTTCCTTCCTTTTCCTTGCTTCATCCCTCCCTACATCTCCTTCCTTCCTCCATCCCTCCTTCCTCCATCTTCCTTCCTTCCTCCCTCCCTCTATCTCCTTCTTCCTTCTCTCCTTCCTCCATCTTCCTTCCTTCCTCCATCTATCTCCTTCCTCCTTCCCTCCTTCCTCAATCTTCCTTCCTTCCTCCCTCTATCTCCTTCCTCTTTCCCTCCTTCCTCAATCTTCCTTCCTTCTTTGAATATCTATAGCTAGATTTCCTTCCTTCCTTCCTTCATCCCTCCCTACATCTCCTCCCTCCCTCCCTCCTCCCTCCATCTCCCTTCCTTCCTTCCTTCCTTCCTTCCTTCCTTCTTTCCTTCCTTCCTTCCTTTCATCCCTCCCTTCCTCCCTTCCCAAACAAAGCAGCCATCTACCTTTTCCCCCCGCTTTTAGGTATGTCTATAGATCTCTTGGACCCATTCTTGTAAAAAAATACAAAGTTTGAGGACCAAAACATTCTTTGTCAGCAGACCAAGTATAAGTATTAAATCCAAACCAGGAGAGCATACAGGTAATTCACTCTCAGGCTACCTGTGTCAGTCTCACAGGGTTGAGCAGATAAGAATCACACACAGATGAGCCAATTCCACTTCACTGTAAGGAGACATTGGCAGGATCTTGCCAGTTTGAAAGTCCAGTGCTCTCCCTGCCTCCTATGCAGCTCAAGAAACTAGGGAGGGTCCCTCCTGATCCTCTTCTCTCCACCCATTTATGCAGCTGCGGCCTATGCAGTCTCTTATCTCCCCGTTCCCTTGGCAGCATCTTTTCGTTCAGTCACCCAAGGTCTTTCTCACGTGCCGTGACAATCTGGAAGCTTCGTTGCCTACATTGTACATTGAAACTCGATTTAAAACTGTACTAACAAACAGACCGAAGGCAGTGCCAAACTTAAGCAAATGTACTTTGTTTTTGCAGCTGCTGGTTTGGTTCCAAGCCAAATCGCTCAGCTAGCGGCGTGAAGGTTTCAGTGGGAAGCACTGACAGCTAACACGCAATATGTATGCGCACACACTCAGTGGTGGGATTCAAAATTTTTTGACTACCGGTTCTGTGGGCGGTGGGCGTGATGTGGCTTGGTGGGCGTGGCAGGGGAAGGATACGGCAAAATCTCCATTCCCACCCCACTCCAGGGGAAGGATACTGCAAAATCCCCATTCCCACCACACTCCAGGGGAAGGATACTGCAAAATCTTCATTCCCACCCCACTCCAGGGGAAGGCTAATGCAAAATCCCCATTCCCACCCCACTCCAGGGGAAGGATACTGCAAAATCTCCATTCCCACCTCACTCCAGGGGAAGGATACTACAAAATCCCCATTCCCACCTCACCCCAGGGGAAGGATACTGCTAAATCTCCATTCCCTCCCCACTCCAGGGGAAGGATACTGCAAAATCTCCATTCCCACCCCACTCCAGGAGAAGGATACTGCAAAATCTTCATTCCCAGCCCACTCCAGGGGAAGGATACTGCAAAATCTTTATTCCCAGCACACTCCAGGGGAAGGATACTGCAAAATCTCTATTCCCACCTCACTCCAGGGGAAGGATACTGCAAAATCCCCATTCCCACCTCACCCCAGGGGAAGGATACTGCAAAATCTCCATTCCCACTCCACTCCTGGGGGAAGGATATTGCAAAATCCTCATTCCCTCCCCACTCCTGGGGGAAGGGTATTGCAAAATCTCCATTCCCACCCCACTCTGGGGCCAGCCAGAGGTGGTATTTGCCGGTTCTCCAAACTACTCAAAATTTCCACTACTGGTTCTCCAGAACCTGTCAGAACCTGCTGAATAGGACCCCCTGCACACACTCCTCTCACCCTTTTCCTTGTGCAGGTAGGGAGTGGGCTTCTGAATAAACACAAATATCACCCCATGGTCTGAACGGATCCTAGGTACCGAGGCAGAACCGAATTAATTCTGGCTAAACAAAAGAAGGTCAAATCAGCTGGACGACACTAGAAACAAAGCTGCCCCAAAAATTCCCACCGCATAAAATTATAAAGCTGCCCAAAACTGCCAAGGAAGAGTGGTTTCCCTTTGGCTCCATACAGAAAACAAAACTGCTCCATGCCATTGATGTCTCAGGAGCCCAAGAGGATCTTGCGAGCAAGACATTCAGAAACTCCAAAAAAGCATCTGGTGGACCTCAGATAAAATAATTGGTAAACAAAAATGGAAAATACGAACACTGCAAGGTATTCAATCACTCCTGCAGAATTCTTTACTTTTATTAGCAATAGCAATAGCACTTAGATATATATACCGCTTCATAGTGCTTTAGAAAAGGAAGGAAGGCAGGAAGGAAGGAATACCGCTTCTCAGTGCTTTACAGCCCTCTCTAAGCGGTTTACAGAGCCAGCCTATTGCCTCCAACAATCTGGGTCCTCATTTTACCGACCTCGGATGGATGGGAGGGTGAGTCAGCCTTGAGCCTGTGTGATTTGAAATGCAGATTTAGCCTGCAATATTGCATTCTAACCACTATGCCATAAAGGAAGGAAGGAAGGAAGGAAGGAAGGAAGGAAGGAAGGAAGGAAGGAAGGAAGGAAGAAGGAAGGAAGGAAGGAAGGAAGGAAGGAAGGAAGGAAGGAAGGAAGCTCTCTAAGCGGTTTACAGAGTCAGCCTCTTGCCCCCCAAGAATCTGGGTCCTCATTTTACCCACCTCGGAAGGATGGAAGTCTGAGTCCAACCTTGAGCCTGGTGAGATTTGAACTGCCAAACTGCAGGCAGCCGGCAGTCAGCAGAAGTAGCCTGCAGTACAGCACTCTAACCACTGCGCCACCAGAGCTCCTAATAGCAATAGCACTTAGACTTACATACCACTTCACAATGATTTACAGCCCTCTCTAAGCGTTTTACAGAGTCAGCCTCTCGCCCCCAACAATCTGGGTCCTCATTTTACCCACCTCGGAAGGATGGAAGGATGAGTCCAACCTTGAGCTGGTCAGGATTGAACTCCTGGCTCACCTGATGAGATTTGAACTGCCAAGTTGCAGGCAGCCGGCAGGCAGCAGAAAGTAGCCTGCAGTACTGCACTCTAACCACTGCGCCACCGCGGCTCTTATTCTTAGATGAAGAAATTTGTC